TTCTCTAACCGCATTCGCCTCCCGGCAATGACAAAGCTCCGAGTATTTTTCGGTCATGAAAAAGCTTCTCAGAAATTATAAAAATGTACGAAATAAGTGGTTTTTACTTAAAATTATATTGGAAACACTTCTAGTGTGCAGAAACACAAATCACTAAGGTTTAATGCATTGTTTTTCGAACCGGTGGTATTATTCTCAAAAGTAGGTTTTTCAAGCACTTAATTTTACAGCTCTTGCTACAGAAATGAGTATTTTTGCGCTGTCAGTATCATTCTCATACAAATTAACATCTTGATCCTTTGTCAAATCACTCGAGCGTACCAGTAGTCGTACATGGCCGCGCATCCCTGCATATACAGGCAGTAATATATGTATGTATGTATGTATGTATATTCCAACATGAAATCTAACATTCCTACATTCCTGTACTTATGCATTGCCGTGCTTGGGGAGCTCAGTGAGATGCGCATACAATGAAACTTACGATTACAAATAGCAATGAATTCAGTAGATGTGGAACGCATAGAAGCACGTTCGCCCTCATAAATACATACATACATATACATATCTTCGTTTAAAGTACAAAACCGCGTAACGTCATTCTGCAAAACCACATAACTGACATTTGCTACCAAACACTGGGTTTACTCACACAAGCTCTGAGCTCAATCCATATCCATTGGTCCTGAAATATACTAGCCAGAAATATGATTGCTTTAGAAAAAAGAGAACTATTTTGAAATATGAGTGTTTTTACTCTCTAGAAAATAATTTATGCAACCTCACATACGCGGTTTTGTACTTTAAACGACAATATGTACATATGTACTTACATACAGACTAAAGGGTAAAAAATATACATGGACCTAGGACATGGGTTTTGTTCTGTACACACACTTGTATTGGTTGTGTCCTTGCGTAGCTGCAATGCACATCCCTATCGCAAGAGCCTTGACGTCAAAATGCTCCCGTGCTTCTACAGACCCGTTTCTGCTGCTCCGTCTATTTTTGCAGCTGCAGTCGTAAACATTGAAGCCACTTGCTGTTGCTCCGAAATGCGCAACGAATGCTTTCAAGTTTAAAGTAAGTGCTATAATGGATAAAGTTTGTTTTATTTACGAAATAGGGGACAAAGTTCTTGTGAGAGTTTTGTTCTTAGTTAATTTATGAAGCACAAACATTACAATCGGTGAAATTGCTCGGAAAATCGGTTTGCTAAAATCACAAACCTTACATGGGAAAGACTTCGTATATATTTTCTGCCTTACATCTAAAGTTGATATGGCGTGATTTTATTAATGGTGATTGACATTTCAGAAGCGGCATTTGCAAGTTGCTGAAAGTCATGCTTGAACTGTGTAATAAATGAAGGGGTTATAATAAAAAGGATCTAAGTAGGTCTGACATTCGCTTTGAGATAATTAAGGTTAAAGTTGATTACTTATTGTAAATTCTGGGTAAATTCATTTGAAATTATTATTGCGCGGTAAACAGATGGCACTACAATGTCCGAAATTATTTGGATCCCCTTTGTTACCAAATAAACACCAAGACGTCTTTTCTCTGCCAAAGAAGAAAAAGTGGAAGATTTATTTTGGAACGAATTTCCGTCATCCCTTGTCAAGTTTGTTTTGCAGACAAACAAAAATCAATCAACACCAACACAAAAAGTGGAAGGATGAAGTGGATGAGTATAAATTATATTTCCCGAAAATCTGCAATATTCTCATTTGTTTCTAAAAGATTATTGCAAACATTGATATTAAGCGAATAAGTTGCAGTGGTCATCGAATTGAGGCAGTTTTTGCATTTCTGTGTTCATTACCATCTTGATCCATTCATCCATTACTTGATGGAAGGATGGACTGACAGACAAACATGGCTTAATCGATTTCTCTTTTCATTGTGATCAATTCGGTATACATAAGGTATATATTTCTATAAATATCTTGATTATTTCAGGTTTTTTCAAATAACCGTTATGCGAACAAAGTTAATACATATGTATGTATGCCCTTGTGCGAATGCTAAAACACCAAAAGATCCTAGGGCTTCCTCAATAATTGCATTCAATGTCCACGAAATAAATTAGAAAGGTAGAGGAGAAAAAAAATATATATTACAAGTAAAGTTTTACCTATTCCTTCCACCGTCTTCACTACGTTCCTCTTAGCTCTGCAATTGCAGCTGAAGTGTTGGCCGGCGCGTGAAGCCGTGCAAAAGTTATTGCCGCATTGCAAAAGTGACGAAGTGTGCAACACACGCACAAAAACACTAAACCAACTTTTACTCAACTACGCGGTTGAGCAAATCCAAAAGAGTATTTTATATGTTGCTAGTACACATACATACATATGTACATATCGTCACCTGAAATACAACAAGACGTAACAAACATCGTAGCTGAAATTCAAAGAGTCATAAGTCATAATTTAGTTTTTGATTGATATGATGGATTTCATCGAATAACAACTCCCACATCATTTAATGAAAAAAATTAAAAATATTAGTTACGACTTTTTCCATTTCAGTTACGATGTTGTTACGTCTTTCCGAATTTCAGGTGACGATATGCATTTACTTAGTATGTACATATGTACTACATACATACGTCAATATAAGGGTCATTCAATTGAAAGGAGGAAAACGACGTAAATTTAAATGTGCCCTATTTATCTTTATTTCGGTAGTAACCTTTATTTATTAAATGACTACATTTCATTAATCTCTTGGAAAATATTAAAAAAAAATCAAAAATTATATTTCTAAGATTATATAAACCTCATTTTTAAAGAAAACGATAGCGTATAATTCATATTTTTTAACACAAAAACATCGTTCGTGCAGGTTGAGTGTTTTGGTTTTAGTTCCGAGGACATAGCTAAAATTCACGATTGATCACATTCTGTAGTAAAATGTCCCACCAGTCACAATGGAATGGCCCATAAGTACTCTACAGTGAAAACCCAAACCAGTCATGAAAAATACCAGTCCATTAACTATTTTGTGCTAAAGCGATGGCCTGCCAGTTGGAGCGAGGCAAGCAAAATTGCATACTTATTCCTTTGATGAAGCGGCAGACTATCCCGTCAACTGGTATAATGCTACTAGTGTTGCCACTGGTAGATGCTGATGCAGGAGCGGACAATTGACATCTTAGATTGAAAAACCAATGGGACGTGAACTAGTTGGGCCGACACGCAAACAGGTAGCATTCTGGTACACAAGTACATAACTAGTAGCCTTACCCTGCAGGGGTATCATCACACACACAAGCATATACAAAAATCGCTGCTGAATGAATTACATAAACGGTCCATAATATTTCTATTTCAACTACAATATTTAAAAGGGGGTCAAAGTATGGCAGAGGGATAATTGAGTGTGGTAAATATTTGCAGAACTCAAAGCCACCAGTTTTGTTTCTCTGGTAAAAAAAATATTTCCAAAGAAAATTGGCCACAGCCACAAAACTGTTCACTAAATTCAATTTCGAGCTTTAGGTTTACGTTTAGTAAATTCGACTACCAAATGCAAAAGGTGTTTAATTTTACATGCAAGCAATTGGCTTTATGATAACATTTATGAATAACAGATAGCAGTGAAGGTAATAGAGAGACTTTTATTAACTTTAAGACCTCCCAATATTATCTATAATTTGCAAATAACATTGATAAGACAAGTCGTGGTGATATTATTTAAAATCCTCTTATCATCTTTGTATGCACATGTTCTTAGGTGCATATGCCCTAAGAGTCAATGGACTTATGATAAGCAGAGTAAGGTGGAGATATGTAAGGCAAATAAAATTTAGATTCAAATAATTTGACTCAATCAAACATTGCATCAATTAAAGTCGACTGACAATTATCTTTTTACTTAACCCTCTACTGCATGAATTATGAAGAAGATGAATAAGAAAGTTGTATCTGTGAAGAACACGTTATTTACGTATTAATAAACCTATATCGAAAGAAAAAACGACTCCAAGACATTTATTTTAAATATTATTTTACAAAGGAATACTCATATCGAAAATTAAAAGAAAACAATAGAAAAAAGTTGGATAGCGATTAACCAAATATTGATTGACACAGAAAACGATGATGATTGTTTTACAAGCACAACTTGGCTTTTTCATTAGTTTTTCTTTTTTGCAGTTGAAGTTATATTCAAATGTCATCTAAGCATCGGCAAACCAATTACTTTCCGTTACTTGTAGTTACCTTTTCAATGAATTTAATTAGCTTAAAATATTTTTAAACCACTTGTTAGGTGGGAAACAATTGCCAAAGTAGTGACACCATATTTGGATTCGTATGCGGTAGAGGGTTAAGAATGTGACGCACTCAGGTATATAAGTATGTACATATGTATGTACGTTAGGGCTGCCCAATTTTTTTATCAGAACTGAAGAATATCGCAAATATCGCGCTGACGGGGTTTTGAAATTGTCCTTATATTTTACATGCGGAAATTACAGTTTTTTGTAGAATTGCTATAAAAGCGTTAAAAATAAAAATTTTTTCATCAGATAAAAATATTGTCTTTTACAAATCTACAAACAATAAAAACAGTTGGATTGAATACACTTCGAGGTTTCAATAGTTCGTCTAGTTGCAAATCTTACTATGTCTATTTATACAAAATATCACAACTTCACAATATTTTTTTTGATTTTAATGAATGGTACCTAGTTTTACTCGGAATTAAGCATCCTTTTCGAAGTAATGACTAAAAGAAACAATTTTCTTTGGAAATTTTGGAATTTATTTCTTTAGGAAGTATAAATAGTCTTATTTCTAAAGACATATGTACCTAAATTTGGTTAAAAAACAGCCGAGAAAAAAATTGATAGTGCCGGATTTCATGTAAGAATGGTCTTTTAAGAAAAAGTTGAGAATTTTAGGGTGTGAGAAAAATTTTAAAAGCAGTTTCGTGAATTACTCGGCCAGGTCTACGACCCGACCCGATTTTTTTATTTTATTACAGCGTATTATCTACATAAAAGGACTTGTTAAAATAATTTGACAGCTGTGGTTCCTAACCACGTTACACAATTTGTAAAAATAGTTAGTTACATTTTTAGAGTTAAATTTTTATCATAATTATATTGTTGGAAGCTTTCTGAAGGGAAATATTTTTATTCGATCAACAACTATTTATCTATGTTTAGCCATTTTATAGCAATTCTAAGAAAAAAAAAATTCCCCGGTTCGCCCTTTTTTCAATTCCTATAATTCCAAAAATTTTATTTTACTGTACATTTTTTGACCACCCTAATGTACATATAACTTATATACTAAATTTCGCTAATGGCTTTAAACAAATCTTGTACGATTCCCATAAAACTTCCGATGATTGTATAGCTATATTGCCAAATAAAATATTTTACATGTTCTTAATATATTTACATATGTATGTACGAATATGATTACTAATTATTCAAAGGCGCCGCGATTGGACATAAACGGCAGCAGTATTTCCAAATGTTTGCGATATCTAGGATTAGTAAACATTGCATTTCTAAAACGAACTGCAGCGTCCGAATCGCCAAAAAAGCCATCCATATTGGCATCACTGTTAGACTCTAACAAAGCTGCCGCCATAACACCCAAAGCCGCTGCCAACCCTAAAAGAAACCGAAAGTGACAAACAAAAAAAATATTTCAATTGATAAATAGTTACCCCACATGCCATTCTTTATCATTGCGATATGAATTTCCTTCAGCGTGGGCAGCTTTTTAGGATACTTCAAAAGCTTCAAGTTCTTCACTAAGTTGTCGTGATAGAATTTGATAAAGTAATCGAATTGTTTCACTTTCACATCGTAGCTTGTAGATGACGTCAGAAAGTAGTGCAAGTCTTTCGCCGGTGAACCATAGTTGATCATCTGGTAGTCGATGAGTAGTGTATTCTCTAGTTTACCCTCGCTGTCATACTTAAACATGACATTGTTGCTCCAACAGTCGCCATGGTTTAAAACATTGAACTCGCTGGGATCGTAAGTGGACTTTATGAAGAGTTCTTCCAACATGATGTCGAACGCTTTTGCCTACATTACGTATGATTCCAATAAAAACCCTGGTTAGCCAACGCGAGCCAATGCCAAAACAAGCCAAGAGTTCACTTACCGCGCTACCAACATATGCCTCACCGCCCTCTATGGCCTTTACAGACTCCAAAAATGGAGCTTTAATAGTGGCACTGAAACTGTCAAATACCTTGCGCTGAGATTCGGTGAACATGCCTTTAATAAACAGCTCTGGATACAAGCCCCTCGTCTCTACACGCATGGCAGAAGCTGCATGCCACTGTGCCAAGCGCTCAAGCACAGCCTTTGTGTGCTCCAAGTCAAGTCCCTCCAAGCGATTGGCGTTCTTGTAGCCGAATGGTTGTAGATCTTCAAGTAGAATTACGCCAAATTCCGAAGGGGTGTCGATGTCGTAGCATTTCGCTGAAAAATTCCTCTCGATGCCAACATCTCGGTACAACTGTTCGAACTCGGGAACGACTTCGTGATACATCCTGTATTCGATTTCAAAAATATTATGGTTTCGCATCATTTCCTTAAAGATTTCGTTTTCTTGCGGGATCTTCATCATGTATGACAACGATTTGGTCGTATCATCTGCAAAGTAAAATTAAATGTGTACACAAATACAAATGCGGTTGACACATAAGAATGCCCCACCCTCCATGCATTATTTTAAATTTGTAGAAGATGAACATGTTGAAAACATGGAAGTTGAATATACAAATCTTAACGCAGTTGACTAATTAAATCGATTTGAGTCGAAATATTTTGGTGAGAGCCATATAAAGCACTCTAATGTACATTCGTCTGTTCCCCATGGTACAATAATTACAGGTCTGGGAAGGCAGAGAGCGCATATTCCGATCTGCCTTATTTGAAAAACATCATTGTTGCCCACACTAAAAGGTTTACTGCTAGGGAAGGGGGATATTTCGATATCCCACATACCATAGATGTACACGTATTTTTTTAAACAAACCTTATTGCAGAGAACTTATTTAATTTGCAAAAGCAAAAAAAAAACAGACAATTGCTTAGTAATTAAATTCATTATTTTTATGGCTCACTTCAATTCAAGAGTTTTTTCTTTTGTTTTGAAAATTTTTTTTTTTTATTAAATTAAGCGAAAACAAAAAGCAAAGCCAAATAAGAGTAAAAGAATCCACATTGAACTGCGTCAAATTTCGATGTGAATTCTCTGGGAAGACAATACCTGTAATTATTGTACCATGGGTTCTACTCAAGGCTTTTTAAATAAGATTGCAATGATTTTGACATTTCTCTCTTTTGAACACCGACTATAATGTCAAATGATGAATAACTTTTAACCCTTCTCAAGTTGGCATTTTCTATTTTTCATTAAAAGTTCAATTGCGTGCTGTCAGATAGTTTTGAATTGTGTGATTTTTTTTTTCGAACACATCCATTTATAGATACATTACAAAAATGAACAAGTAAGAGCAGCGCTGTCTTCGGCTATGCCGAAGGCTTCATACCTTTCATGAACATCTGCAAATTTTACTTTGACAGATTACTGCTTTTGAATACATCTGCATACATCGATAGAGGAGTTACATACTTATATAAAAAATCGCATCTAAACAATCAGAGGTATGGAA